TGTAGGTAGGTATGGGTTAATACCTGTGTTCGACGGAGCTCAGCTCAGGAGGACAACAAAGCGAGCCAGGTGTATATATAACTGCGAAGCAGAAGCAATAGGACAACCCTAGGTACTGAGCTTATCCTGAGGCTCGTAGGTTGTTGGTCACGAGGACGGCGGATGTCGACAAACGAAGTGTAGAGCTCAACGTGGCTTGCGGGAGGTCTTCGGCGTGGTGGCATGCGGCGAGAGATAATATTTGGAAGAGATATCTGTTTCCGAAATGAAAGATTATCAAGCCTGTGATGCGGCTCTGCAAATGGGTTCATAAATTAGTTAACATAATGAGCCACTGCTATGGTGCACAACGGTTTGATGGCGACAACGTAGAGGGTAGGATGTTGGGAGGACCCAGCGAGTGCGTACCTTCGAGGTCTCGCAGTCTCCGTTCATCTGTGTCAAGGAAGGAGCCACCGAGAGGGTGCTCCTGCCTTCTGCTTTGATGTTTTTGCCGTGGCGGCCGTTGTTGTACTCACGTTCAGGGATTTGTTGTACCCTTGATCTCAACCTTCCCTTTCCATCACTACTAACTTCCGTTGGCTCGCTAATATAAAACATCTCTATCCCCAAACAACCTCACCGCGATCACTGCCCAGCCAGAAAGCCCTCACCATTGTAAGTATTGTTCCACTCACACCCAAATACGACGGTTGCGGCCGCCACCAAAAGGCCCGTCCAAGATCGGCACATGCTGATTGACATCTTCAAAACAGATGCCATCGCGTCTTGGGCGTCGCCGACGCACCACTCGCGCCACTGCCCAGGCTACAGATACAGAATCTGAGGCCGAACTTCAGCTAGAAGTAAGTCGGTGGTCTGACACGTCACTCACACCCATTCCACTTGCTAATACTTCACCACGCAGGAAGAAGATGATCCTACTCCAATGGGGATTCACCACATCGATGTCGTGCCCGAAGCTCCCGTCGTCGATATCATGCCGTCACTGCTCGCCCAGCCTGATGATATGTCGACTGGAGTCAAAGATAGTGCTCGTGCAACTCAAGATGTCTCTCGTGTAACTCAAGACGTGGTGAGTGGACACCCAGAGACGTTATCAATACTACACCAATTGACACATCGCATCCAACAGGTAAACACCATCAGCGGCATGCCTGACACTATCCGGCGTCAGGTGGACGACTCAAACCGCGTACTTCGCAACGAGATCCTGAGATCACAACAGACGATTCGCAGTGAGATTCGAAAATGGATCATCGTGGCATTCTTGGTCCTACTTTTAGTCCTTCCCTGTGTGGTAGTAGCGTGCATTTGCGTTTTGGGATTGTTGTATTGGTACTTTTTCTCATGATTGAACCATACAAGAAGTCCTTGTGAGGATGCCCAGTAGATGTAGCCTGGCTGCCTGCCTTCATAGCCTAATCAGCCGCTTCTGCCAAGCGGAAGCCGATACCAAAGCCGTGTACCATTCCGTATACCTCTGAAGCAAGTACCAATCTTGTGATTCTCTTGCATTTTGTACTGCTCCTGTGAACAATGGTACCGTGGATCTTGAAGGCGGCATGGTCGGTGTGATGGCTGACGGAAGTTTCATTTCACAAGGCGACAACGAAGCCAATCTTCGAGCGAATAAACAAGTAGTACTGTCTTACAAATAACCACTTCTACTCATTCACAGACTTGCGACGAACAAGGGGATAAGCACTATATATTGTCATATGAATAGACTTACGGTCGAGCACCTGATTAGTTAGTACCATGCATGCGAATAGAATGGGGACTAACAAGGAAAATAAACCATTGCATGTTCTCTTGAATTAGCTAGATACGACACATATGTATGCCGCCGGATGTTTATTTGAAACAGGGCCGGCTTTGGCGCATATATATTCTTGCTCGCTCTCATACAACTAATCATACAGCAAATTGTACAGAAGTCACAACGGGTTTCAGGAACAGCAAACTTAGACAGCTTGCAGTCTTGGAGCCTTTGCCACGTGTGTGATGGCTACATCCTCTGATGTGTCTGCCTGGTTCTCTTTGTCATCCGCTGTCCCTAGACTTCGCCGCTTCTGCCCACGGTTGGCACCACGTTGTTGCAAAACCCTATCAGCTGGAGCGCCTCTCAGCGGCAGGTTACGAAGCTGTCGGACTTTGAAGAATGCCCAGCTCCATTTGAAGGACAGGCTATTGATACCGTAAGTTGGCCCTTTCTTTTCGAGAAACTCGATGAACGGCTTTCGTGCCTCCACATGGATGGTTCGTCTGAACTGGTCGAGACTCCAGTTGTTTGTTTGCACGAATATCTTGATCATAGCCCGTACTTGGTCACAGTCATACTCAACTCCTTCGCGCGCGGCCTTACGAAGGTCCGCATAGATTGTCTCATCGCACGGGAAAGCGCTATTGGCCAGAAGCTGAAAATCGAGGAGGATTTCCTCATCAATCAGGTCTCTGTGATACGGAATAGGACTCAAGCTGATAGAATCGTCGATGGCTTCTAGTAGGTCTTCTTGGCGCATGATGTTCTGGGCTTCCGCAATGCTCTTGACAGAACCATCCTCGATCACTTGCTTGAAACGCTCAAGCTCTTGTTGTGGATGTTTCTTCTTTACTGGTTGCAACCCTTTTTCAGTTTCAGTTTCGCCGTCGCTCAATTCTCCTCTAATCTTCGCGATGAGGGAGGCATAATTGCTGATATCCTGTTCACTCAGGTCGGGACAAATCGCTCGGTGAGCAGCGCGTTTCTCGTCCTCATTATCCATTCTGGCATTGATGTAGTCCATGAGGGAGTCCCGTGCACGATGCTTGGGAACATCTTCGAAGGTATGGTCGCGACCGAGCCGCCCACCTACCACATCGAAGTCGTTACCGCGTGCAGGGACGAGTAGACAAGGTCTATCAGGGTCGCCTTGGCCATCATCCCAAGTGATCACTGCACGCATTATGTCCAAATCATCCTCTGGTACACATGGGACCTGGGCAAGCAGGCGGATGAGATCAGAATTGCAATGTGTTGCAAATGAGCCCTGCAAACCGTCAGTATGTCTTGGTCTCTACATGTCTAGACACTCCTAGCATACTCTGAACTCTGAAAATATGGTCGAGGGATCCGCATGCGGATTTACGGGAACGAATTCCTAAATAGAATCAGTTGATGTATTGATTCAGGATCAACGTCGCTGCAACACACATCTTACTTTACCGTATCCATTGTGAATAGGAGTCCTGATCGAGCAACAGTTGAAACTCAATCTTCCAATAGGTAGGAGTCGTCTGAGCGTTAGCAGGGACTGAAGAAAGGGGTGTTCTTGCTATCTGTCCAACATTTGCGGAATGGCATCGACTAGAATCGTACCGCCTTTTGAACCCTCTGCGTCCCTTGTCACCGATGACGTGATGATTGGCGCTGCGAAAACACTCAAACAATGTATATTATGTTGTGACGTCGTTCTCATGGCCGAAAGAGGCAATAAGTCAACATAAAATGCGAAAACGCGTCGCGGTATCGATCATACCCCGGTACGATCAGCATGGACGTGCTCAAAGTGACGTAGATTTCCAATGGAAATGTGCATCGGCATGAATTTTGCGGCGGAGGAAACCACGAAGCAGAGGAAAAGGCAGCATAAATTACATCATAAGTCAATTCAGGCCTGGGTAATAGAGGGTGCGTGCTCTGTGCTTGGGTAGGGAAGCCGATGGGGCAAGCGACAAGGTAGGCGATGAGGGTAAATAACAAGCATCGAACGGCGAAGAGGATTGTCTGTCCATCGCACCCCCGAGATTCGCTTCAAATAGGGTGCGGGGCGACGGCAGGGCATTCTGGTGTCAGGTCGTGGACTTTCAGAAGAAGTGTACATGTTCCAGGACTCGAGAGCGGACTAGATGACGGTGACCACGACATGGGCACGCCAACGCCGTCGTCGCAGTCAAGGCAGGACAGCAACGGGCAGTGTGGCAGACAAACAATTAAAGATGAATCAACTGGGCCGTGAAAGGGTTGAATTAGAAAAGCTGTCGAGCGGTGTGCGCGCATGCCCGAAAACCTCATCGTCCGCTGGCAACGATGGCAGCGCTGGCATGTTACGGAGCTTCAAATCAAGGCTGCAAAAGCGCTGATTAGACCTTAGACATGGACACGAAGGTAACACATGGGCGAAACACCATAGCATGCCGGGGGGCTCACGCAGCATGTTTGATGTAGCACACAATGTTCCAAACCACTCAGCACAGTGGCTTGGAGCGTCACAAGGGCATCTTCTTCATACCACCACGCGAAGTGACGAGTACAACGAAAATGAGATAACAAAAATTGCGGAGTTCGGGACCCACGAGGGATCGACGATCAGTGGCCAGCTCCGCGATGTGCAATGCAGGCCGGTCAAAAAAAGGAAGGGGAAAGATGAGCTCCCTTCCTTCCTCCAAGGTAAGTATGAGGAGAAAAGGAAGAAGAAGAGGGGGGAAAGGGAGGGAGGAAGGGGACATATATATATGGAATGCAAAGGCGGTGAGAGCCGGCAGAAACAATGCCCAGGGCGGTGGGGGCGGCAGAAATGCCTACCTACCTGCACACTGCAGCGACCACTTGGCAGGACCTACGTCACAGGCCTACCTACATGTACGTAGGTACCTACCTTATCTGTGGTCGAAACAGCTGGTTGCGCCTGATGTGCTGTCGTTTCACAGCACCATTCCAGATGATCATAACTATCCCCTTTGAATGCGATTACAACTGCAGTAGGTACGGATGGATATGACAAGGTTGGCTTATCGAGGGGCTGGGTCCATGTAGATAGCATCTTATGCATCCAGCAAAACGTGCTCGATATTTGCATGTACGACAAGATCACGTAGTTGCATGTGTAGTTGCGATTGGGCTGACTGGATATAGGTATCGATAAAGTGTCCCCGTAAATACACGCGGCTGAAGCCTATCAGGGTGATAATTGCCAGTAAGTCCCCTGCAACCCAACAATGAACCAGCAATTCGCCTAGCCCGGTTAGCTCAATCGGTAGAGCGTGGGACTTTTACTAAAAGATGGAAGGTCCATCCCAAGGTTGCGGGTTCGAGCCCCGCATCGGGCTGCTGCCCCGATGCCTCATTGATTACAATGAGATATTCGATCATGGTTCATTTTTTTGAATTCATATTGCTTGCTGCTTGCTGCTGCTGCTACATTCTACCTTTTTGGCTGTTGCTTTCAGGTATGAGTGTAGATCGAGGCAGGGAAGACTTGTTCTACTATCTACCTACCTACATATAGGTAACCAAATAGGGTTGTTACACTGCATCCATTATTTTATGCTTTGGAATGCAGCCATGGGACTATCAATTGATCCTTTTCTGACTCTACAACATTCAAGAATTACAGGGAAGTAGGTAGCAACCGTCAACAGGTTTCGGGCCATTACCACAACCTTGGATTGTTTCGTAATTGCTTCAAGCCGTGGAGCGCCTTCGACACGTTTTTCCCACTGGCATTAAATATGTCCAACGGGAACTGGTCTGCAATGGCCTGATATCCGGCTACATTTGGATGCAAATGATCACCGCCATCATATTGCGTTGCCAGCTGTGCTGTGTTGGAAGGGTCGGCCACGATCTTAGCGAAATCAATTGTGGCATCGTAAGAACCATCACCACCGGCCAGAATCCATTGGTTCACAGTCTGTCGATTCGAGTCGCGAACAGTATTACTGTACGCCTGTCCCGAGCCTCCAAATGGCGTGATCGTCGCCCCGAACACAGTGATGCCCGCAGCTTTGGCATCTGTCGAGATCTGTTTGAATGCCGCCTCGAGCTGGCTTCCGATGCGCGTTTGTGTACTCGGGTCTGCCGACGACACCCCGATATCATTCACGCCCTCGAAAATCAAAACATATTTCGCCCCAGCACATTGGAGGAGATCCCGCTTATAGCGATCCAAAAGCGCTGGCCCAAGTCCATTCGACGCTGCGAGCACCGCGTTACCACCAGCTGCTTGGTTGACCACGGCAATATTCGTGATGCCCTCCTTCTGCATCTTGGCCAGAAGTAGGTCCGGCCAGCTGATAGACGCAGGAGTCAGCTTATATTTCGGCCAATATTCAACAGACGAGCAACTCCTTACCGATTATTTCCATTATCATCGCTTCCCCGTCCATCGGTTATACTGTCACCAAGAATTACCAAGGCGGACGTTGTCTTTGGCGCCCAAGCCTCTACCGCAGTCAAGAAGTACCAGTGTGCGACGCTGGCTCCCGTAACGGTTGACGCATTGAGATGATTTCCTGACTGCATCCATGATGTCGTTCGACTTCCAGGGTGTCCCGTGATGCTAGTTCCAGACTGTCCTGCTTGGGAGTATACGGTCACCGTGATCATCGATTGCGACGCGACTTCAAAATCAATAGCATCGGTATATACGACTTGTCCTCTCGGCACGGTAACTGAACTTGAGCCATTGAACGTTAAAGCCCTGAGCGTCGTTGTATCGATTCCACTGGCTCCTGCCTGGCCGCCGGTCGGCAATGCTAAAGACGCAGCCGTGATAGGTAGATCACTACCACCGAATGTGTTGGATATCTGAATACGTATTCTCTCGGCCCCGATAGACATATGAAGCGTCTGTCGAAGCGTGGCATCTTTGAAAACACTAGAGCCTGTCTTGAATTTTGTTCAGTACTCACATCGTTTAGTAAGTCTTTGGAAGCGAGCTCTCATACAAAGGGGGATGGAGGTAAGTTGCTTTGCTCGACGAGCTGCGGCATTGAGGTCCAGGTCGCCACCCAATAATTGTCATCATCCTGCCTCCTCCCGAGACTCTCAACGCGTGTTGGGTGACCCGCGACGCAGGCAGACCACAGCAGATAAGCTACTGCAGAAAAAGATCCGAGCCTCATGATTTCGATATCTCGCCCTTTATATTGTGATCTATTGCGGTCTGGAAAACGGTTGGGGTACTGGATGCCAAGGCGACTATTTTCTGGTCACTGTGACAGCTCTTGGGATATTTATTGCAGCCTGCAAGCAGGTTTCTCATTGATGGCCGATGGCCTCCACGGCGGACATGCATGTTCCGTTGACGTATTGGAGTCCTGTCCGCGACTATTGGGTATATTTAGCCGCAGGCTGTAGCTGGCTCAGAGGATGAAGCTGTCATTCTTTGCTGTCGGCGTAAGTAAACAGGCCGTTGACGAAGTGCAACGTGGAGAGCATATTTTTTGCCACAGTATAATTCAAGATGTCTGTCATCAGTTTGAAACAAGCTGGGAGTTCTGAATATCTAACGATAACATCGTCAGATCCTTGGCTAATAAGTAAGGTACACTTACCAACCTGCGTGTTTGAACAGACTAAACAGCACCACCCCCATAGTATATTTACATTATAATTGTAAGTAACATACATTTAGATCATCGAAATTCGACGCTAGCCATCGTCCAGCATCTACGCTGACAACATACCTACTCGCAACCGGTGAATTGCATGAGAACAGGTACGGACAAAGGGACAAGCAAGTGTTGCCGGGTAGGACGCATGAACAGAAGGGTCCGATTTGGGAAAGCTAAGGTATCTACAGCCAAGACATCGTATGGCCTACATAAGCGTCGTAACGCTAGCGAATCAAGATGAATGCATCTGTAAGCTGAGCTGTCCACCAGACGACCGTAATACGGGGGATATGCTATCACCCTCAGGCACTACCTAGGTATGCAGCTACGCATTCGAAAGATGGTGGGATTGGGGCATAGCAAAAAGGGCGGTGAGTTTGCAAAAGCCTTTCCTTTTGTAGATTTATCTTACTATGGGAATTCATTGTGCCTCGAATGCAGGCAACGGTATGCACGGCTTTCGTTTTTGAGGTGCATGCAGCAATGTCCCAACGCCATTGGCACCTCAAAGATGCCCCTCCAAAATGCCCCTCCAAAAGGAACCCTCCGTCACCGGCCTAGTGGGGAGTCACAAGTAAAAATACCACCTCCAGAACCTTCGACTTGAACACTGGACACACAACGTTTCTGTGTAGAACAGCTTAAGAGCACCTACATGTAGTAGTCGTGTGTTATTCTTACATTCCATCGTATGATACAAGCGCCCTCACAAGCTGTACTACAATTTCTCCACGCGTAGCTGGGCACCGAGGTCAGAACGGGCCGACCCCTGGAGCAACCTGCATCTTTGGGTCTCGACCCTAGAATTTAGGTACACGTAGGTAGAGACTAGAGTTACTATGCTTTTTTTTTGCCATCTGACAAAATGGTCCTTGATTCTCTCTCGACTGACTCAGAACGCATCCTTCCGTCCCAATTGATCGCGCTTTCTCGTCCGTTGATCTGATTGTGTTGTTTGCTTGCCTCTAGATACCCTTTCTGTTCTTCGACAGAAGATCAACGACTCAATTCTTCTGAGCACCTTCGCACCGTAGTGCCACTACGTCACCCTCTTTCGATTCTGCCTCGAAACACATCAGTCGTCGAGTTGAACCAGTCACTTCGACACAAACACAAATCCTTTTCATCTTTCTCTGCATCAACCCATACTTGCATCCGTACAAGTCATCAATATGCCGGGAGTCGACATGGCACCGCTCAAGGCCGACAACTTAAGAGGTACGTGGCCGAGAATCCTCGCATCTTCTCACTCGCAACTATCCTTGCAATTTTTTATTCTTTTCGTTTGATAGATTATGAGAATTTGCTCTGCCGCGAATACCGCCAGTGCATTCTGAGCACTTTTGGAGCTTGTCGTAATATCGTGGGAGATTCTTCCTCTATATGATCTGATATATTTTGTGTTGTGTCATGGTTTCACAGCTTGCTCATCATCGCCTTTGACCCCGACCTATGAGAACATATTGTTGTCATCATGCTGATATATACCGACATCTCAGTCCTCGGTCAGGATCCCTTGATCCCACCTGCTCTGCTGATCGAGGAGATCCCCATGACCGATGCCTCTTTGCAAACCGTTGTTAAGGGACGTCGTGATGCAGTCTCCATCATCATGGGCAAGAGCGATAAACTGTTGGTTATCGTCGGCCCTTGCTCTATGCACGACCCCGCTACAGCTCTGGAGTACTGTGGCCGTCTCAAACAGCTGTCCGAGAAGCTGTCTGGCGACCTATGCATTATCATGCGCGCCTACCTCGAGAAGCCCCGTACCACAGTCGGTTGGAAGGGTCTGATCAACGATCCTGATATCGATGACACTTTCAAGATCAACAAGGGTCTTCGTATCTCTCGCCAGTTGTTCAGCGATCTCACCAATGCCGGCATGCCTATTGCCAGTGAGATGTTGGATACCATCTCACCCCAATTCCTTGCCGACTTCATCTCAGTCGGAGCTATCGGTGCGCGAACCACCGAGTCTCAGCTTCACCGGGAGCTTGCCTCAGGCCTGTCATACCCCATTGGTTTCAAGAACGGTACCGATGGAAGTTTGGGAGTAGCCATTGACGCTATTGGCTCGGCGGCCGCCAAGCACCATTTCATGGGTGTCACGAAGCAGGGACTGGCTGCCATCACAAGAACTACTGGCAACCCTCACGGATTCGTCATCTTGAGAGGTGGTACCAAGGGTACCAACTACGACAAGGAGAGCATTGCAGCGGCGAAGGAGACGCTGACAAAAAAGGGCCAAAAGCAAGCCATTATGGTCGACTGCTCACATGGTAAGCTCTTTTTTTCATTCTCCTCTCGATAGCTGCATAGGATGATGGCAGAGATGGCTCCAAGTCCATACAATTGTGTGACATTGTACTCACTTGAGACAGGTAACTCGAACAAAGACCATCGTAACCAGCCCAAGGTGGCCAAGGTCGTCGGAGACCAGCTGAGAGAGGGCGAGAAATCGATTATCGGTGTCATGATCGAGTCCAACATCAACGAGGGTAATCAGAAAGTTCCATCCGAGGGCCCCGCTGGGCTGAAGAAGGGTGTTAGTATCACTGATGCCTGCATCAACTGGGACAGCACGGTCGAGGTTCTAGAGGATCTCGCAGCTGCTGTGCGCGCCCGCCGTGAAAAGAATGGTTCGGCAAACGGCGCCAGTGCTTAAACAATGGTAAAGTACCTCGTGATAAGGCATTGGGCGGCTAGAGAAA